TCAAAACTTCCTTTGTTTCTTATATTTTTGGTTGTGAGCCTAGCCTTTAACAGCTGAGCCATCTCTCCAGCCCAGCTTCCTTTGTGTCTAAGGGTGATCTGAGCAGGCTGTGGTGACTCATGCCTTTAATCCCAGTACTCAGGAGTCAGACATCTGTGTGTTCTAGGCCAGCCAGGGATGCTTAGAGAGACAGGGGACTCCATGCCCTTCTTCTGGTGTTGGATGCATACATGTGGTGTCCATACATGAATGCAGGCAAAACCCTCATACACATAAAGTAAGAGATAATATCAGAGGCCAGGGCTTTTTATCAAGTAGGATTGTTTGCCTTAGAGCTAACAGAGTTCTTTACCCAGAATGTATATGGTGGAAGGAGAGAACCAATTACCAATTTTTTTTTCTGACTTCCATAAGTATTTATAACAAATGTGTGTGTGTGTGTGTGTGTGTTGTGTGTGTGTGTGAATGTAAAAATAGAAAATATCTAGATATAATAAAAAAAATCCCAGTGCCTAACAGGCAAAGACAGGCAGGTCTTTGTGAATTCAAAGCCAGTTTTGTTTACATATTGGAGTTCTAGGCCAGCTAGGGCTACACAATGAGACACTGTCTTAAAAATAAATAAGAATATAAAAATGCCAACAAACAAACAAAAAACCAGTGACATGAGTATGTAGTCATTTGTCTACAAAGCTTCTTTTAAAAATATCAGGGGCTGGAGAGATGGCTGAGTGGTTAAGAACACTGACTGCTCTTCCTGAGGCCTTGAGTTCAATTCCCAGCAACTACATGGTGGCTCACAACCATCTGTAATGGGATCTGATGCTCTCTTCTGGTGTGTCTTCTGGTGGTTTTATAAAATAAATAAATAAATCTTTAAAAAAACAAAAAAAATATATAAATACATAGCACTTAGGAGGCAGAGGCAGGCAGATCTCTATGAGTCTAAGGCCAGCTTGATCTACAGAGCAAGTTTTAGGACAACCAGGGCTACACAGAGAAACATTGCCTTGAAAAACCTAATTAATTAATTAATTGATTAATTAATTAATACTTTAAAATAGCTGTTTACTCTATAAAGTAAAAATTATATTCCTTTTCCTCTCAAATCTCTTGCATTATTTCCATTTTAAAAAAAATTACGCTTTTGCCCTCTTACTCTCTTAATCTCTTGCTCTCTTGCCTCTAGCTTCCCTCTGTCCCCTCACCCTTCTCCCCTTCCCCCTCTCTCCATGTGGTCATGGCTGGCCTCTACTCCTCTACCTCTCTTTCCCTTTCTCCCTCTCTCCCTCTCTCCCTCTCTCCCTCTCTCCCCCTCCCCCTCCCCCTCCCCCTCTCCCCTTCCTCCCCCCTCTCTCTCCCACCCTCCTGGCTCCCCTCCCCATGCCCTGAATAATAAACTCTATTCTATGTTATACCGTCGTCGTGTGGCTGGTCCCTCAGGGGGAAGAGATG